GTCCCGGTGGCCTTGGTGATGGTGGTCTAGGTGGTCTTGATGGTGATTGTGGCGGTCTCGTCGGTATTGGTGGCGCTCTTCGTGGTCCCGGTGGCCTTGGTAATGCTGTCTTGGAGTCTTGGTGATGCAGATGATTTTGATAATCTTGGTGGCTAACTGGCAACTAATTGGCGTTGGCGCTAGACGTAGCCGAGAAACAATCTGAGCAGGACCAGAATCTAGGCACATTCACGCAAAGCAACCAATGAATTACTCGGGTGGTCTTGGTGGTGATTATGGTGGTTTAGGCGGTCTGGTCCAGGCGGTGTTGGTGGTGCTCTTGGTGGTCCTGGTGGTCTGGGTGGTTTAGGTGGTCTTGGTGGTTTTCGTGGTCTAGGTAGTCTTGGTGGTCCCGGTGGTTTTGGTGGTGATTGTGGCGGTCTAGGCGATGTTGGTGATGTTATTGGTGGTCTTGGGGGTCCTGGTGGCCTTGGTGGTCTCCGTCGTATAGATGGTTTTGGTAGTCTTGGTGGTCCCGGTGGTGATTGTGGCGGTCTAGGCGGTGTTGGTGGTGGTGATTCGGCGATCTAGGCGGTCTTGGGGGTCTTGGTGGCTTTGGTGTTTAGGTGGTCTTGGTAATCTTAGTGGTCCCGGGGGTCTTGGTGATGGTTTGGGCAGTGTTGGTGGAGCTCTTGGTGGTCTTTGTGATTTAGGTGGTCTTGGTAATCTTGGGGGTGATTGTGGGGGTCTAGGCGGTGCTTTTTACCAATCTTATCCTTTTAGAGGCCTTAGATGTTTTTAGATGCCCACAAAATTTATGGGGTAATTTAGGACATGCTTGTGATTGATTGCAAATCATTGTGTGACCACCTCAACTCCCATTCATCCCCGACGCTGGATGATAGGTGCACCGCTATCGATATTGTCATACTAAGGGACAGCATTCGTCGGATGCAAGCCACACTACGGTGGGTTCCAACGAACCGAATGTTAGCCGATGCTCTAAGAAAAGAAAGCCCAGAAGTGTTTGATTTGTTGAGGGCCTGTTTCAGATCCGTACACTAGCAGATTAGCCCAGAAGAGCTTGTTTTGCAGCGCAGAGCCCAAGAACATGACAATTCGCCTCCGATTCGAAATCGCAATCTCGATCCGAGGATAGCGTAAACATGAAAAGACCTGCCGCACACCATTCTCATGATAGATATGATAGTCCTGGGGAGAGTGCCGCAAGCATTCATAGGTATGTATCATCTTGGGAGAATGAGATGTAGGGGTGCAATTCGTGATCCTCAGTGTATATATAAAGAATTTTTCATCAGGCCTAATTTTGCATTTAATTCATAGAGCACACGTTTCGTGTATATCATTCCTTAGCAATTCATTTTGGTGATACTGAAGATATATGGACATATGGTTCAACGAGGTTCTCCAATGCTCGAAGGCCAATCGTGTCATCCTTTCGCTTGCGACAGAGGAACCATGGCGATGTCTGCCGGTCAGAGAGCCTTTACACCGGCTGAAACAGAAGAATATTTCCGACTCACCATGAAGGCCAGGAAGTGTGGTGCATGGGATGCCATCGTGCGTCGCATACGTAATGTTGAAGATCTAGCCCTGGACGAGGCTTTGTCACCTTCCCTTTCTGGCTCCATATCGGATGGATCGAAACGATTGGATAAAGACAAACTTCCATCGTCTCCAATGATCTACAGCTCCAACTATATAACTACTAACCTGCCAATGTCACCCGAGAAGGCCTCAATTCCAAATTCATATTTTCAATCACTCAATAAAGAAAACGGTGGTATCTTTTGACAAATATAAAAATTCAATTATTCTGCCGAAATATTTAAAGACATTAATGAACATTTGCCCAAGCCCAATATCAAAATTAATCGTCGGCCACAAAAGATTTGGTCGATTCTTTTCAAATTCATAAAATATATCATAAATGCAACCAATCTATTATTCCCAACAACCCCATTCGATATTTAACTAAAATAATATTGTATAAACATATCAATAACCGATTATACAAATATTTTAAAAACTTAAATAAAAAACCCGCGTTAAACGCGACGATTGCACAATATTACGATGCGAAAATTACTATTATATATATTTTTTCAACATATATATATATATAAATTCTATTTTTAATATTGTACTTATATTTATTTTTCATTTATTTTTCAATCAATATTTTTTGAATTTCAATAATTTATATTTTCGTCCAATATAATAAATTCATTAAACTATATCGATATATATATATATAAGTTGGTGTCAATATTATCTGGTTGGATTGTTTTCGTTTTCTTTTTGTGAGTCCCGTATCGTTTTCCAAGGTTTTGGTTTTATGATATTTATGCAATTACATCCCTATCCAATTCGACTAGTCACATTCCGGTGAAGCGTGTCATTTCTGCAGCCATCCCTCATTACTAGCAGCTTGGAGCACCGTTGCCACATGGACATTGCCATATATCGGCACTAGGCAATAACAAAGTTCAATACAATACCGATCAATTTCATTAAGGCCACAACCGGCAGAGAGGAAGCACCATTGCCAAGATCATATGCAATATCCATTGGAATCACAAGGAGGATTTCCCATCCATAGAGGGGAATCTTTGAATCTAGATGATGTATATTTTTAGAATCTCTGGGATCCACATTTTCAATTATCCGAGCAGGTGTCGGAAGTCTCGTTGCCTGAGGAAGAAATTGAATTATTTGATCCAGATGCTTCTTTTTCCCGAATACGTAGCGAAGGATTCTCATTTAACTCTTGGGGGTCTAGGGGTAGAGCCTTGTTCGCGACCCGTGAGTTGCTCAGGTCGAAGGAGCGTGGTGCGAATCATGCATAGTGTGGAGGCACGACCTGCCGAACTATGGATCATGTACCAACCTGGCCCAGTCCATCTGCAATTGAGGATCCATCCTGTCTCTTGAACCAGAACCAGAACCAGCGTGTAAGGCTGGGAGGAACACCATAAGAGCCAATCATCCAGCTGTAAGCTCTGAGAAGCATTCCAACAAAAGATCTGTATGGCCGCTGGTGTCGAAGGCATGGTAGAGCCAACAGAAGGCCTAACAACAGGTCGATCGCGAAGTTCACGCATGAGTTGCTATTTCAGCCTGAAGGGGACCATTAAGGGCCAAATCTCCTTTCCTTTAGATTAAGCACAGCTATGTAGCAGTGATCTCTTACATACTCTGCGAAAGCTTCTCTTTATGCGATTGCATCTTAATGGATCAGGAATTTGGCCGGAGCCAACATACGCCCATGCCTCATGGAGTTTTGTACCAACCTAATACTACATAGAGGAATAGCTTGGGCACTTTAATCACAAGACGAGGAACCTATAACAACCCTCACGCCAGACATGCACGGTGCAGGAGCGAATCGAGAATTCTGCCAATGCATGTCTTTCGGACTTAGGACCGGACTTGCCAGCTCTCTAATATATGTAGCGGTGGTGCAGCTTAGGACATCCAGAAAACAAGGAATATCCTGCCAAAGGGTCTCCACATCTTTCTCAGATCGCGATTCCGACTCGACATGTTCGAAGAAACCCAGGGAGAAATGGCTACACGAATCTAAGCTGGCAATAACGCTCAATATAATGTAATCAAATATAAATTAAAATACAATTTTCAAATATAAATACATCTAAAAATAATATATATCAAATTAAATGCAATGCATTAAATTAATTCCATAAAAAAATTAAATTTATTAATAATTAAAAAAATATCCAATAATATTAATAAATAAAATAATATATATATATAATCCTCCCAAATTAATAAAATAAACATAAAATCAAATATATAAATTCCATATTATTCCTTCAAAAAATATTATATATATATATATAAATATTATCAATGTTTATAAATATAATATTAATTATTTTATATATATTATAATTTATATATATATATTATATATAAATAATATTCTATATATATATTTTATTATATATATATATTGAATATATTTATGAATAATTCTTCTTGAAAGATGTGCCTCCAACCTGATGAATTTGAATTAATTAATATTCAACAGAATGTTTCATGTGCTTGTTGGATCAATATTGATATGAAATTTCATTTCAAGATATCTGAATATGATTCATCGAATGTATAGTAAATTGCCGATGTCTGAAAACAAGAATTCTCAGGCCCCCACCCCAGGATTCCTCAGTTTGCATTGCAGAATGAAAAGCAAAGACTTGGCAGCAACCCGAGTCCCTCCACCATTCTCCGATAGAGAGATTGTTCTTTTCTGTAGTGAATCCCATCCTTTTCCCAATCTCCGACTGCTTGTCGGTGTCCCTTGAGGCTGTAAAGGAAAAGAACAAATCCTAACGTCAGCCTTTGTGCCGTGCACATGTCCACTGCGTCCAAGTGACATGGTGTTGCTGGGATCCGCCTGAACCGAAAAGCACATGTGACGAAGCACGTCTATAGGGCTGAATCTATTGGACCTGGAGCTGGGGTATGTTCCATCCTAACCTATGGAAATGACTTGGCACTATCAATTGGCCGAATATTGGGAGATGAAGACACCGGACACCGGATCCCAAGAAAGGTATCTTGAACACAGGTTCACTCTTAGAAATCCTCTTAAATTGCTTGCTTGATACATTCATTGTAAAGGTGCTGAAGCGATATGCCGATATGAGAACTGTTGAAATAATCTGCACCATTGGGCGACAACTGTCATTGATTCTCCCTTCAGCCTCTTCTGCGACATGAACAATATCTTTGCTGAGTTCGTGACACCCCGACTGAGTCACAAAAGAGCCTGCAAAACACTGACCTCTGCTTTCCAACTATTGAGTCATCCCCATCTTGATCCTGGTTTGATAGAACTCACCTTTGCTCACCTACCCGGAAAATAATTCACATCCATGTCCCAAACCCTGCAACGGAACTGCTGATTTCACATTCATTGGACCATGAAACCATCCGCAACACACCATCCACCACTCACCAGTCATCACCGTTGTCTACCCTCTCACGCACGTGGATCCGGCCTTCATCCATCGTCGTTGCGTATCCATGGGTGCCTTGTACTCGGTGCCATGGCCATGCTCTGCTGGGAGCTTTCCGCCGACCGCCTCTACGGCCTGGCCGACCACCAGGCCGACGAAGAGCGAGAGCGAGGGAGTGAAACGGAAGCGTCACAAGTTGTTTGATGTGAAAGGGCACTTGGAAAGCGAACAGGGATAAAAGCACGGAAAGGTCGATGGGTTGGAGTTGTTTAGGGATCCCTTTTCTCAAAAAGTTGGCTATTCTCCGTCGCCAAATGGTGAAAGAAAGGATCGCTCTGGTCTGCGCATCTTGACCATGTGACATCTACCTCTGAGGGTCCTTTGGGGGGGCTAGAAAAGGCGGATGAACTCATTGGTTACAAAGGCAGACTGACTGTCTGTTGGTTGCCACAAGCCAAGGACCCAACACGCTTCTTGACCCTTAAGCCTTCGCAAAGACTTGGTGGGATGGAAAGCTAGGAGATCTTGTGACAAAAGCAACGTCACGATGCCACCATGCCCATCATACTTGAGTATGTGGCAAAACCACTACACGTGTTTCTTTCATGAATATCCTCCCCGTGGAATGTTCCAGGCCGTTGGGATCCGTGGGTACGGGGCTAGAGATAGCCCCGTAGCTCTTGCCCAAAAGGGAAGTGTATCAAAACGAGGACCTACACAGTTTTCATCTATAATATGTACTGTATATATATATATATTATATACATATCTCTATACATATGTGTTGCTTATGAATGCTTATGGCCTCAAAACCCCATCTGGAAGAGCAGTTTTATCGTCCCAACCCTCCGCATCGAGGGCAAACAACTGTGCCCATAATCAGGACGTCCATTTTGGTATCGCCCGACGACTGGACAATTGAATTTAGATCAACACCATCGACACCTCCGTGTATTTGACCGACTCAGAAAAGCACTTTGACGCTACCAAGGTGGTAAAAGGGCCCATAGGAATTTCCACTGACGGGAATACATTTCGCATCTTCCTTGACACAATCCCGGCCTTCTTGATGGCCATTTTCGCATCATGAACATTTGTCTGGTTGTCAAAGACAAAGTCCTCATGATAAACCTCAGCAAAAACGGCTCGAAATAGGGTCGGAGACGGTCGGAGCATGTCAGAAATGCGTGTTCCTCTCAGTCCTCTCCGCAAAGAAGCACAAGTACAAAACGAGTCCACTTGAACTTGGAACGGGATTGGGAACATAATACTCAAGGAGCTTCGGCGTGGCGTCAATCGCCGAAATCGGACTGGTGGAGGGATGGTCAAGGGCTCGGAACAGCCTGTCCTAGCTTGGGGATGCTTAAAAAGGACCCTCCATGCAAATAATTACATACTATCTTCATCTATCTTCAACTTCTAAAACTCCAAAATGAAGTACAGCAAGACTGCTGCTAGGTCATAAATGGACATCTATTCCAAAAGTAGCAGCCCTCCTCAGTGAAATTTGCCTAGCTGACGTTTGAAGGACTCTAGCAAATATCTAGCAACCGTGCAACACCGTAGAGCTGTGGACTCTAGTAGTCTAGGTCAAGCCCCTGACCATCTATACCCATAGACCATCTATACCGATTTATGCTGATGGCCAGTCGGGTGTCTCTTTTTCACAACCCCCATAACATCCCACAACATAGATGGACTCATGTGTGATGTCAATATGTTTGAACCACCTACCAAAGTTCACCACCAACGCAAAAAGCAATGAACAGATGCAATTCTGATGGAGTTCGACCCACGCGTACGCTGTGTGGATCCACTGCCAAAAAAGTGGCATTGCAGCCAAAGTGAGAGTACACCAGGCGGTGTTGGATAGGATACTGTGCCTGACACGGCAAACAAAAGGAAAGTATTACTTTCAGGAGACCCCGTACAGTAGTAGGTTGGAGGCGGCTGATGGCAATTGTGCAAAAAGAGATGATTATTATGGTCTTCTCCTGACTACTGGGAAGTCTAGCTACTCGCACATCATCCATCGGAATACACCCTTGACTTACACTATCTTACACTCATGTTGCACCAGCTTGTGCCACTTGCGAATGCACCAGAAAAAGGGAGGTCTCTATTCTCTATGTCAACGTCTCAGCAACCATGGCCTCTGGCAAAGTCGGATATTCCTTGAACGTCTTCGGCAACGCATAGTCGATGGACAAGCCTTGAAGACCTAGGCCTCAATCAGTCACACAACCTTTTTTCTTGTTGTCCGCCAAAAACACCCTGCTGCAAGTCATGAACAAACATGTCAACATGTCTCAGATCGTTCTAGCCAAATGGATTTTTCCAACCCAGCATGAGATGCTTCTCGGGGAACATTCGGCATTGTGAGTTTCCCTGGCCGGGCCTATGCAGTAGGTGCGGAACGCCGGCGCTACAGCAAAGCGGAAGAGCATCGCACGTGATGCACTGAAGGCATTATCACCTGAGTAGTCAACACCATGGATTGTTTGATTATTAGGGCTTGCAGGAAGAAGAGCTCATTACGGCAGGATCTCCAACCATGGGTTGATTCATGTGGGTGGGTGGGTCAAAGACTATGACCTTCAGGGACAAAAACAATGGAATTCTTTCAGGCCTCACTTGCGCACGCAAGGTCGGCAGTCGACCCCACCTACTGAGTTACGCAGGAGCCATGTCCAAAGCCTCACTTGCGTGCGCACAAGTTACTGTAACTCACTTGCTCATGCATGACCCACTTGCGCACGCACACACAGGCATGTTGCTGCATTGGAATGGTTCCTTCCTCCTTCAAAATCTACCCTCGGGTGGCTCAGAAAAGGTCTGCTACGTTGGAATGGCTCCTTCCTTCCCTAGATTTTATCCTCGGGTGGCTCACAAAAGGTCTGCTAACTTGGAAAGACCCCTTACCAGTTCATGACAGGGTGTCTGTAACAAGCACACAAATCTCTTTAAGTCTCTTTGTGCCTGAAATATGCTGGTGGAAGGCTGTTTCAAGCCTGGAGCCGTGGAGGACCCAACACCAAACACATGATCCTTGCGCAATTGAGAGTCTGTTGCAGGCGCACACTGCTCAAGAGGCTTCCACTTCTCAGCCTTCCAATTTTGTACAAGCAAGGCGTTTTCCGCGTGCACAAGCGAGTGCTATGCCATTCTTTCACCTGGGATATCCTGTGATTCAGTAGCTCCCTGTACACCACCGACAGCCGTGTTTGGGACACCTGTCTTCATTCATTCCAGCATTGTGTCCGAGTGGCAGACATGGAATCGTACAGTTCCTGGATGTTTCGATTGAAACTTCTCCAGACGAGACATCAACTCGTCCACCTCTCCATCTGTGTACTCAGCAAATTCCATCAGCATGTGGTGATCCTCAGGACAGTGGGGCAGCGATCACCATGTTGTAATGTGTTGTGAGAAACCAAGCAGATCTGGAAGTGGTCATGTGAGTGGGTCGATTAGAAGAGGATGTATATAAACTGCTGCGGGTCAACAATGGATAGCCCAAAAATGGCCGAAAAAACATAGTGTCTCTACCTTACCTTCCCTCTTCACTCTTCCCGCACGGCAGAATGGAAAAGATCAGCATTCATTCGAGTAAGGCATGTTTCCTCTCAAGACTGGCTGAACAAATAAGCTGGATTCACAAAAGGGCCATAGAAGTTATATCAAATCATGCTCTCCACCAGGGACAGAACTCAGCTTACCGGCCTTTGACCCAATCCACCACTCCAACCCAGGCCACCTGGGTCACCTCGGCCACCTCGTGCCAAGTGTCAAATTCATCAGCCTCAAGAAGGACTGGACACAGGAGAACGGGTGGCTTTGACATCCGATAGCAGAACCATTGACTTTGCAACAAACGGGTCACTGATACCTCTAAAGGCTCAAATACTTGATATACTTGGATACTTGGGGAATCTTGGAGATCTATGGCTGTCCCAGGGAAATGAAACATGTGGCCAGTACTGTAAGTCGTGGCTGTTCCAATGTATTCCTGAATGATACTCTGAAAAAACAGCAAAAACACTTCCAGAAACCTGCCACAAGCCAGCACAGGATTGGCAAGCAACCAATTGTTGCAATTCCTTTGGCAATGACTTCGGCAGGATGTTGTTAAACCACCACAGAAACTTGTCACAAATGATAGTGGAGAAGGGCACGGGAATTGATTCCTCAGTCAATTCGTTGGAGCTCTGGCCAAAAGGCACACTGTCGCATGATCACATTGCGAGAATAAAGCAACTGTGCATTGTCGGTTTCAGGATCACGTGAGCTGCAAGGCGCAGGATATACAGATTCAGTGAGCTTCATGTGCCCCTTAAGCCACCACTTCTACAAAGCTAATGAAGACCTGATAAAGATCTGCTGAAAATCCGAAGACATGATGACATCTGATGAAACTCTGAACATATCTGAACCAAAAGATCTCTTCGATCTTCGAGTTTCGATAAAGAGCTTCAAGTTCCACAGTGGCTCCAGCTTCATCATCCCCAGGAGCTCGATCCTTGTAATGCATTGTCGATATGGATTCTCATCGGACCGATGCTTTTCTTGATGTGGACATCTGGGTGACTGAAAAGCAGCCTATGGCGAGTTTAAGAGGGTCTACAAGATGCAGAATCTCTGCGTAATTACAAAAATCTAACCTGAGGATCAAAGCAACCTACGTGCCTTCAACAGTGCGCCATTGGGGCAAGACACATCTTGATGAGGATTCGACCACTTTGGTCCACAGCATCGTAGGTAGCTCTGTTGATGTACCTTAGCAAGATCACACCCTGGAGCTCCATAGCTTCGCTAGCAAATGAATGTGTGAATGGGATGTCTTCAGTTTGACTAGCTCCTTGTCAGGCTTCAGAGCCCAGGATCTTAAGGATCGAGCCTTCACCATGTCTACTCGAGGAAAAAGCTTGCTAGGTTGTTTCGTTGCTGTAACGCAACGTGCGACGGCGCGAAGACTACATCATCGTGCACATGTACATATATTGTATATTTGTCAATTTTACATAATTTTACAAGGATTCCTCCAGAAGTGACTTTGCTTCACAGCCATCACGGTGTTTTGCTTGGTGGCAATGGTACAGTGGCTGAAAAAAGAATCCAAAGAATCTGACCCATTTGACTTGAAATGTCCTTCGCTATGCTGTGGGTGTTGGAGGCCTAAGCTTGTCGAGTCAAGCTGCTCGCAGGATTTAGCCATCTTTTCCGGCGAGGAGATGCACACCTAACAGCCCAAATGGAAGCTGTTCCCTCGGAGTCAAAGGTGGACAGATCGCGGTGAGACCCACCAACCAATGGATTCGTTCTCCAATGTCATCCAAGAGTTGAGGTGCTTGGGGATCCATTGAGAGACCAACTGGTCGCGTGGTTGGAAGCAGTGCCCAAGCCACCAAACTCGACCAATCGGTCCAATGGTTCAGAGGACGAAACCATCCGAATCCTCATTTTGGGATAGCAAGGACGCTACTAGGGGCTCCTGGCATCGCTACTAGGAGCAAGTTCCTTACTAGTAGTAACAAGAAGCTAGTAGAAACAAGAAGCTAAATAGAATACACACAAACCAATCAAAATATGACAAATTGCTTAAACAGCTGGAGGATGTGAGACTTTAGGGCCTTTAGGGTGCAAACCTTTGGCGCAAACCCGGGGCCAACCCTCATCAACCTCTGAGATCTGCAACTTTTTTCAAATACTCGTCTTCACTCCCCATGTCCATTTCTGGTGAACCACCCTTCGGTAGGGTCGCGAGAATGGCAACGTGACCAAGGAGTTCTCCTTTGTGTTGTCCCCATCAAAGCGCAAACGAAAAGCTCTGAAACGACTGCAATGGTGGAATTCGTCTGTAGCTATACCTGGTTTGGGCCACTAAGAACCGACCAGGCCAAGCTCAACAGACCCCTTTTCACGAAAGGCCTCAACAGTCTTCTTGTACGCCATTCTGCTAGTTGCCTCAAGATCGTCAAATTTGCCAGGCGACTTCTCGCTTCAATTGGTGCGCAGTGCCTGGGATCTGCACGGCTGGGTGGATGGCGTTGGGTGGTCGTGCAAACAGCAGGCTCTCGGTGGTTTCAGCAGTTGCCGACTGCATCTTATGCATTGACTCCATTCATCATGCCCAGAGGTGTTCAAAAAAACGCGCGTGTTGTGCTTGTTCATGCAAACATTTCAACGTTCCTTTGGGGAAGACGTCAGCTTCTCTCATGCCCAGAAGGTACCACTTTCTTCCGCCCAGGCGACCGATGTCTTTGCAGGAAGCCCAAACCTGAGTTTCAAAGGGTCGGCAGTACAGGGAACCAGGGGTTCCCCAGCGAGCGAGCGAGAGAGAGAGAGAGAGAGAGCCTTCCGCCCACTGCCGAGGCCAGGCTACTTCTGGGGGGTAACGAACGTATTTTGATGTATTTGGATGGCACAGCCACCGTGGCTCGTAAGGGCCCTTTCGTAGGGCAAATTGAGCAAGTCTGTAAGGCGATGCAGTTGCTCTGTCTCTCTTGCATGAGGGGCATCGAGCAATGTGCAATTCCAAGCCAACAAAGAATAGCGCTGCATTTTTCTTTGATGCACAAGACTGGCTTTCGGTCTAACCTCCTCCGTTCCTGCAAAAGAATAGAACCTCACGGAGTCCTTTCATTGCTCTCCACCATGTCCCAAGACGACTTGGAGACAGGACCGAGGAGGGATCAAAGGTGAACTCATTCGCCAAGTCTCTGTCTTCACGTGCTTGGGCATCGGAAAGGTATCATGGAGGGTCGCTAAGATGAGCACCTCCCATGTGTTGGTGCAACTTGCTGCAAGAATCAGGGTGAAAAGCTTGAACCATAATGAAGCGGGGAGATCCTATCTGGGGTAGATCTGGGATGTCTCTCACATGTCGCATCCAGCCTTCCCTTCTGAACGGTTGCAGTCCACTCCAGTGGTATCTGCATTGAAGCGCGACACCTGGCAATGAAGGAGCCGAGAGTTCTCGGAACTGCCAAACAGCTAAGCATGCAGCATGTGTGTGTGTGTGTGTTTGTGTTGATTCTAGTGCATATTATGCATATTATCATTATGTATATATTATAGGTTGGAGGCCATTGAGATTATATGTCGGGTTTGAGCAATGTTGGGATGCTGGATGGGGTGAGGTCTGGCTGGAACGCCATGGTGACCGATTTTCCTCCTCTGGACTTTATTGACATGCTTCCTTTCCTTGCCTTGTTTTCCACCTTTGTGAGCTCTTCTCGATACTTTGGCCATGAAGCAGGCAATCGGCCTCAGCCCAATGGTGCAGAATGACACATCACATCACTGCTGTGTGGAAGAAGCGAACAGGTCGGATCTCAAGCAAATCTCTCTCCTTGTGATTTGTATACATAATATTATATATATATACATACGCATAGGTACATCTGTGTAATACATGCACATCCCAATCTGGCCAAACTACGGGAGGACTTTGGAAACTTCGCGTCACTTCGTGTCACTTCGTGTCACTTTGGCCAAGCAGCAGGATGAGTCCAGATCTTCTTCTGTCAGGGACCTGCTTGCAATCGAAAATGCATAGAACCATGACCTAGTGTGATTGGCAAAGCCAACCCAACAACTTGGTGTTCAAGAATTCTGCGCCGCAAGTGGCTGGAGAAGAGCTACTTGCTGCCGGCTTGCATGAAAATTGGCTGGAATGTGACAAAGGGCTTATACATGGATAGCATGCCTACATTGACCAGTCATCTTCATTGTGTTGAAGATACAAAAATATGATGTCAGAGGGTCTCAACTCCAGTTTGCATCCAAGGTTCTCTGCTGAATCAAGAAAGTCCAAGGCCTTTTCGCCTTTCCTTAGACAGCAATGTGGATTGGTGGCAAAAGAGGTCTGTTCTGGTTTCCAAGCTACAGAAAGCTATGAAATTTTGGACAGCTACACATTCAGGAAGTTCTGCGCACGGACGGTACCGTTGAGAGCTGAATCAACTGTCTACGCTCGCAAGAAAGCCGGGGGCCGGGATCTCATAGCATGAGAACTTGCTTAAGAGATGGCAGGCAGCAGGCACAGACTCTGGCACAAGCAGCCTTGATGAGAAAAGTTAGTGAGCTTCAATCTGGGCCTAGCAGGGAAGCCACATAATCGACACTTCTACAGATTTACGTGGCATTCGCAGAGGTGAGGGTCGCCATCCAAGCTTCACTTTCAAGCCCAGCGTGTCCACCAACTCTACCTCGAGCCAAGACGGGCCAAAACGCAAAAAAGTTCTAGCAAGTACTTGTTCAAAGAGCCTTCCTGTCGTTGTTACACAAACCTTCGACTGCAAAAGCCCATGCAAACTCCTCAAAGTGTAAATGTTTCAGGTAGATCCAGGTAGCCTCAAGCACATTCTAGTGATTCTATTGTGGTTTTTCAGAAGGTGCCCGATTTTGAACCCCACCTCTTCACCCTCAACCCCGTCTTCCCGCCTCGCCATCTGCTTTCACACGACAAAAGAGCGCGCGGTCGGTGAAAGCCGGGCCCTGACGGAGGCGACACGGAGGTATACCAGTCACGCACCAGGAGCTTTCTTTTTGCCCTATAGGAGCAAGGACGCTACGAACGGGGCTCCTGGCCTTACTACTACGAGCAATGTTCGCTACTAGCAACAAAGGGCACGGCTACTAGGAACAAGAAGCTAAAGCCCAGGGGGGTAGGCCGTAGAGGTGAGGTAGCTAGGTAGCTAGTAGTAGCTAGGGAGTCGCTAGTAGCTTAAGTAGCTACTAGTATGGACGCAGGATAGCTCACGCTCGCACTAATTTGGTTCCTAGATTTCTAGGGAAGGACTAGCATGGACGCAGGGTCCTAGACCTGTACATGTGAACTTCTGATCCTCGTAGCCCTTCATCAAGGATGCTACTAGTGTGCGTACTTTGACTTTAAGAAAATTTAAATAGAAGATGCTTTCAATTGAATTGAGAGGAGGTTAGCCACGGAGCCTATCCCCGAAATAGCATCAACCAAGCTGGCAGGGTGATAGGGATGGGTTCATTTTCTAGCATCAACTCCAGGAACTTACTTGCCAAAACTCTGGCAAACAAAACAAAAAAATCAGGGGAGCCATTGGGCTGTAGTTCCTACTCATCAAACCAAGAAGTACCACCCTGGCAATGTCATAGAGTCTATGAGTCTATGGGAACATGAGAGAAATTGGTAGCTTCTTGCTCCTAGTAGTACGGCCAGGTCTAGTCGCGTCCTTGCTCCTAGTAGCGATGCCCTTTGCTCCTAGTAGTTTCTTGTTCCTAGTAGTACGGCCAGGAGCCCCTAGTAGCGTCCTTGCCCCTAGTAGCGTCTTCTGATCGCAACAAATCTAGTCTACCAACTTCAACAGCCCGTCCTTGCGGATCTGTGTGCCGCCGCTGCCATAGGAGACTCCAGCGGCCACAGAAGGGTTCAAGAACATGGAGCCCAACACACCTGCAGAACGGCTAGCTCGTGCTTTGAACTCAGGGTTTCACCCTGAAGAGCTTTGGATAGATTATGATAGATTGGAAGTGCCATTCCAGGATAGGGAACAATGTTGTCCTTGTCATTTTGGTTGCAAACCCCATGTCAACAGGTTGACCACGCAAGCTGTCGAGGTGTAAGTAAAACATGCAAAGAAACGTCAATTTCACGGTGTTTACATGGATGGCTGCAGCGATTAAAGAGTGGCTGCTCCAAGAAAGCGCTTGCTGGTGAGTGAGTTGACTTGGTGAGCTGATTTGCAATGATCTTGAAGAGACAAAGATGTGTGAGTGTCCCAATTTCTGATCCAAAGAAGGTTTGATATCCTAAATACAATGGCAAAATGCCACACAAGAAGATTTTGGATGCTTCTTGCAGTAATTCAAAGTACTCGATCAATCTATGTCCAGACCAAGGCACTATGAGAGTCTCGGTGACCTGATTTGCGGGCTGGCCACGGTGCGACAGACTTGCAACGGACTGGCCCGTGGATCGAACGACAGCGATCCAAGTTCCCTCTTACATAACTCCCCCCAGAAGCGTCCTCTGTGATACATATATATATATATTATATAGATAAATAGATAGATAAATAGATAAATAGATAAATAAATAGATAGATAGATAGATTATAGCTATATACATATCATTCTTTGTGTGCCCTTGGAACTGTGTCACCACCTTTTGAGTGTTTCCAACTGCCTCTTCTTCCTGTTTCAGCATCTCCCTCTTCCGAGAATCCGCTTTCAGGCGGAAAAAGCCCCTCGTCCTTTCTGCGTGCGATGTTTCCTGCGTTCAGTGTCTCCTCACTGTAAGACGTTGACTGCTTTTCAGCGATCCTTCCGGTTTAAAAAGCGTTTCCCACAATCCTCTTCAAGCATCTTCGGCTTGCAGCGTTGCCCAAGTTCAGGGCTCTGCAGCATTAAGCACCGGCGATGTGTGTTGCGCCTTTATCCCTTCCAGACCTTCCCGCAAGCATTTCCTTACCAAAAACACTTCCCCGGTCTAAACATGTCCCGCTTGAAGCACTTTTATAGCTCGAAGCGTTTCTCCACATAAAGCATTTCCCGCTGGAAGCTCTCCTACTTTATATAAGCGTTACTATAAGATACTATAAGCGTTTAACACTGCGCTCTAAGCTTTGCCTCCAGTAAGCCTTCCCCGGTATAGACGCATCCCAGTTGTAACGTTTCCCACTTTGGGTGTTTCGCACTATAAGCATTTCCCACTGCAAGGGTTTCGCACTTTGAGCATTCCCCCGCCGTAACGTCTCCCCTTTCAGTGCCCTCTTAAGGCCCCTCTTCCAGCGGGAATCTCTTCTCACCCCGGACCCAGAGACGCAAAAAACAGCATTCACTTCAAGGGACGTTTCTGCAGCTCGGTTTGCAGCTGGAAGATCCCGGCGCCAGCAAAGCACAAGGCCAAGTTAGGAGTGTCACCCACCTGGACTGAGCTTTCGCTCCAGATGCGATGAGCAGAACAATTTGACAATGGGGAAGCTGGAACGGGTGGTGAAAACGTGAGATGAGATGCCCGAATGTCAATACAATTGAGCTTATACACGTGTACACCCTCCAGTGCCAGTGTTTTCCCTCTCTCCAGCAATGAGTAAATCATCTGGCATTCCATTGAGCTAGCGTCTGCTGTTTTGAGGCACCCTCATTTGACGTCATTGAAGGTGTCCATCTGTCCAGCATCAGCAAGTGATAGAAGATCATTTAAACCATTGTGACGAGGTGAAAACATGCAAAAACAGGGTTCCGTACATAAAAGAAGCCTGTGTGATCTTGATGGAAGGACAGGGGCAATTGCTTGCCAGGACAAATGAAAGAACACCTTTCAATGGTCCAATTCAATTGGTCACAAGTGCATTACTACTATAGTAGCAAGAAGCGACTACTAGAGATGCCCTACAAGTTCATCTTGGGATGTGGTACGGTATGATGAATCGGTGACCTACTCTTGGCTGAGGCCCCGGCTTGTGCCAATAGACAGTAGCAAGTTTGGCTCAAACACTCATCCGAGTTCCACCATCCGGTCACCCTGTCAGTGCCCTCTCAGGCAACCACCGGCATGATCTTCTTGGCCCGCCTCATGTTAATGATGACCTGATTCCGTGGCTTCATAGACCAGCAAATCAAACAAAACGGAGATCAATTAACCCCCAGCCAAAGTCTGTTGCGCCAACTGAGGGCCTCCCAAGTAACTACGCAAAAGAACCCTGAGACAAAGACATGTATCACAAAATCATAAGAGTTTCTTTAATCGAACGTCCAAGCAAATGTGTGTGTGTGTGTGCGCCTTATAGTAGAATTGTTCGACAATTCTCACCAGTGGAGGTCAATCCCTATTATACTTAAGTTTCCCTAGACGTCTAGGAACCCAATGAATAGCGCGAGCGCTTCTTCAAGGAAGCTCCCTCCCGTCGCCTTTAGGGCGGCGGGGGGAGCTTCCTTGAAGCAGCGTGAGCTATCCTGCGTCCATACTAGTAGCTACTTAAGCTACTGGTTCCCTCTTTTACTAGTTACCTAGCTACTACCTCTACAACCTACCCCCCCAAAAAAAAAGAATAACAATAAAAATAATTACGCCAATAATTGTTAAAGCTGCTTGATACCTCTCTGTTAGCTCCACAGATCGAGATTCTGAAAACATTTTGACCAGTCGCAGTGATTCTGAACCTCCTCCGGCATCTGACATGTTAGCATGCAGCATGTGCATCTGTACAATCCACAATCAATACATGCAGCTGTGGCGTATGTGGATCGCAGAAGTCCACGGACACTTGATCCCGTCGGCATCAATGATGATGCTGGATCTGCCCCAGAACACTGCAAAGCTGATTGTCATCTGGGGATATGCTTCGCTACATTAAGTACGAGCCAGCTTGATGTTCATCTCCCCACTCACAAGGGCCAAGCCGAGCAGGGTGCTTGGTGCAACAAGTCACTGTAGGATGGAAAAAAAAGAACTGCTATTTGGTCGGAGGCCATCGCTCCTAGGGTGGAGGCCATTGCTATTGGGGTGGAGGCCATCGCTCTTAGGTTGGAGGCAATTTCTATTAGTAATTCAATGAAGATTGTTTTTGTTAATTGTATGTTTCAAGAAACTGCACACTGCACACCGGACAACTGGACACCCACCCAGCTCCCAGGCAAGCAGCAAAGGGTCGGTCGCAGTCATTTCGCGGAACAGATCCACCAGTTAAGGAAGTGTTCGCACCTGAAACCAGGTCGACATGAAAAAGGGCGTGTCTCGAAACAAGAAGGCCATCTACACACGGATTTGTAACAAGTCTCAACATGTGTGGATGTCATGGGTTTCCGACGCTTCATTTACAGTTATCTATATTCCTTTATTCAAGGGATTTGGGGCCCTTTCAAATTGTCTTGAGACAAAACTTCATTGTGTGCGGTGAGCACAAACCCACCACACAACAAAGGAGAGACTGAGGCTTCAATTGAAAAAGATCCGCTAGGGTTCCACAATCCCTTGCACCTTGCCGTTAATAGATTTAATAGCATGGTCATCGCACATAATCAGCGTGCAAATTCCATCTGACAACATGCAAAAAACAAACACGTTTTGTCTGATTACCTGGGTCTGCACAGAGGTATTTATAGTTTATATATATAACAATATACTTATATTATATATAAACCCAGTCTTGTTGTTTTTCTTTCGCCATGCATCCGTTGCTGACATCCGCAGCAAACAAAAGAAAAAAATGCTTGGGCACCAGGGCGTAGGACGGAACAAGGTTTCATATTCGACGCTGGCTGCTGCTGCAAGGATACTTTCATTTTGGAAGTCGTAAGCGTGGTAATCATTGTGAGATATTGAGTTGTGGATGAGTTGGTTGGAATGAAAAGTCACCCTACTTACAACCGCTGTGGCCCACCAACCCCCACTTCTGCATCTTCCACCCCACCGTCTCCCTCCCCATCTTGGCCGCGCCAGACCAAAAAGGCCCCCTGGGCCCTCGTCCATCGCCAGGCGCCTTGCGGCAAGACTGCCACCTCAGCCTTGGCACAAAGCTCCAAGGCCTGCAGAGCCTCGCGCAAGGTGCCCGGCTTCAGCACCAGCCTCGGACGAAGTCGCCGGACAACACAGGTGGGTGGATGGTCTTGAAGATTCTTCGACCCCGAAGCAACCTGGTAGCTAGCTAATGGGGCAAAACCATCTTTCAAGCGCACCTTTCTACTTGCTTCTGGGAAGTCACAGTCCAAGAATGCCATCATCACTCTTTGCTCAAATCCAAAGAATGCTTCTGGCAACCCCCCAAACCTCCACTTGGGATTTGCCAAGGAGTTGTCAAGGCCAAATGCTAATCTGCACTATGGGGCAATCAGGTCAACCTGAGCTTGAAAAAAGTTGAAAATCGCATTCCAGCTTTCAAGTTTCATAGTGATGGCAAGTTCTCACCACCTGCCTCCGCGCCGAATTGGTATCACTAGAATAAGTTTTCAGAACAGTCCTTTAGACCATTGAGGAAGAAGATAGACTAAAAACCTGTGGTGTTGTTAGGTCTTTGATTGGACTCACAAACAAACAAACAAATGAAAGTCACGCGACACACAAAACAAAACTGCAACAACAACAACAACAACCACAACCACAACCACGACACCAACACCAACACATGCACATGCAAACACGTCGATTGCATTCCCAAACCTTTGAGACATACTGTAGAATGAACCAAAGAAAGCTTTCTGAAGCAATCTCTCGCTGGCATTGCGGTGCCTTTGCCGAGCCTGGCAATGCGATCAAAGGCATGGCAAAAAAGCATAGCCATGGCCATGCCATGGGCATGTATGGCATAACACAGGCTCCCATTTCTCGAGCGGCTCTTTAGCGCTTGCTCCGTGTTTCATGAGAAGCACATGGCTGTCAAAGCACTCAACCAACTGCTCCGGCCTTGAACCCCGTACATTCACGTTGGATTTTACATTCTCTGCACCTGGGGAAGGGTGTGGATCATGCTCAGTTGGCTTGTTGAAGGGGAGGGACAACGCTCTGGGCTTGGAGCTACATATGTTTGCTTCAGTCTTGAATACGAGAATCCGCAGTTTCTTGGTTTACAGAGTCTCTCGCTTCTCGCTGAGATACAGGAACAGCATCTTCCTGTTGTTGCCACACAATACTTGCAGGTTGGGACCAGCCTACTGCATGACCTCGTGCCCCGTCACATCAAAGAGGGTCCTGCGAGGTCAATATACCCACCAGAAGGAGCCACCAAAATCCTGGCCTAAGAGAGCCTTCAGCTGCTCAGGCAACTTCTTCTGTGCTTCTGTGAGCTCCACCTGCAGAAAAGGCTGTTTGGGTGACGACTTTTGGACAACAACCACTTAATTCGGATGGAGAGTGAGCCAGGACGTGGACATGGACATGAACCAAGAAGCATGCGTTCTGCTTTGACAATCACTGTCGTTCCACCCATCATCTGCTTCGACGTGTCCAATCATCTGCCAAAGACGGCTCGGCTCCGCCTCACACTCGCAGCTGCCGCAGGTGTGCCCGTTCCGACGCGAAGTGGCCATCTGTGGGGCCATGAAGCCAGCGAGGAGACCCAAACCGCCCACGGCCAGGAGGGTCTGGCGGAGTGACGAAGCAGCTGTCAAACACCAAGACAGCTGGCACAGTTTTCCAAGACAATCTCCAGAGTGAGTTTTGATTTGAACAAACAACACCCCATTCCTGGCGTAGCGTTGATCCTGTCACCCAGTTCTAGACGATAGTTCTTGAGGGGGATAGGAGAAGAGGCTAGTTGTCGAGCTCTTCGGCTTCTTTCGTTTGCATTTCCCAAACATATTGCCTCCTCAAGGCGTCTGGTCAGTCGTGCAAATTTCGGTCATGAACAGTGGCGAATATCCATGATGAGAGTTGATGTCTTTGCCCCCGAGTCATTCTTTGCCTGGAAGCTAAGCGGGCCTTAAGATGTTGTAGTAGCCAAATCAGTCTTTTAATCAAAGAACAATGGGTCTTTTCAGCAAGGGCTGAAGTTTATCATGAAACACACGACACAACTCATCAAAAATGTGATCAAGTCTCTAGACTGAGATAGATGCAATCTGTTTCCTGGGGCATGTTGTTTAGACTCTAGATCATCTCACATGTCACTTTCACAGGGACACAGCTCAAAGCTTCTCGTCGCGCCGGATCCATGCCTGCCGGCTGTACTCATTGGCTTGCCTCGGAGAGTCGTTCATGGTATGGCAAAAACAGAGGACTGGACCTAGATGTCACAACAGTTGTTACTTCTGTAGGTAGGCACTTGAACGAACATGTTGTTAGAGGTCCACTCACAAGTAAGGAGTCTTCGGTGTCTTGCAGCAAATCTAGAATGTGTCTCATCAACAATTCGACCTTGCATCACTGACCAAGAAAATCTCCACACATCTTGGCATCAGTTTCAAGAAGGAAACGGCAAAGAACCCAAGAACTGGAAGCTTGCGCATGTCAAAAGGCCCTTTGTTCAACGGGGAGATTGAGAGAGTAAAGAAATACATCTGGGCTGTCCAAGTTTCCACGGAAGGCTCTCGCCATGTACCCTGCCATGGTTTGACAGTGCACGAGCAGAGTTTAGCCAAAGCCGCTTCCAGGAGCTGCGCATGGCGAAAAAAGAAATTGAAGTAAACGGCAAAGGATCAATTGGGCACTGGCAGAATGATGCCATGGATTGCTGATGTTGTTTCTATCTGTTCTGACTGTAGCCTTTTCTGATATCTAGTTCGTCGTAAATCTTCTTCAGCGGCCTTGGAGTCGAACAACTCAAACTCGTCATGTTGTGCCTTTAAAAAAAGTGACCGCCATTGTCAGATCTGGAGCTGTGGACGTAGATTGAATAAGACGAGCTAGGTTAGATACCGTACACTGCCATACTGGCCGGAGTTATATCAATCAAGCTTGCCCAGACCAATGTGACATCAGCTTCAACAAATCAAGAAACAATCTGGAAACGATCTCCCTTTCACTCACGCTGTCTCTCCCACCAATCGATCGAGAGCAACCGATCTTTTCTATCCGTCTGCACATGGGTTGCATCACCGTGGGTTGCATCAGGTGAGCTAGAGAAGCTCGAACTCGCTTCCATTTGGATTTCACGAACTCACCCAAATCTCCACAGACGGTCAGCTGGGTCAGCAGGTCTGGGCAGGGTTCTACCAGTCGCTGCCTTTGGTTGGATCTCTCAGCTGCACAGTGTCTGGCTGAAGGTCCTCAATGGCTTCCTGTGCTAGCTACAGTTGTCAAGATGCAGTTGACAAAATTAGACCACCGTAGACCCCAAACAGTTTGTGGTTTTCAAAACCGGAACACTCTGCAACTAGAACTTGCGACGTCCAGAGCTGGGAGACAAAGGATTGCAAGGCAGAGGCGGTGGGTGGCAAGCACACGACTCACATGACTCAAGCACGCCTGCGACAGAGATCCATAGACCAAGGTGTAGTTGTTGAAGTCCCATCGGATGAGGACAGGAGTTCCAGCGAGTGGGTCTTCTTGAACTAGTTTGATCTGCCTCACCGGAACCTGAAAGGTGCCAGGAGGCCGAAAAACAAAGAAAACTCTCCAACACGGACAACAGCATCCCTGCAGCTTGTCAGTCCAAAGCCCTTCTGCCAAGTCACCAATTCGTGTCGCCCCTCGCTTTGGTAGTGTGCAAAGTCTGGCTCTCCCAGGATTCTTTCAAGCAGCATCCTCCGTGCCGAGAAGGCGTCCGCTCGGCGTCCATCCCGTCTCCTCGCCTCGGGTCTCTCGTCTCCCGTCGCGCGGGTCATGCGTCGCGTGGGAGTCCGAGCTCCCGAAGCTTCTGGAGCACAACCCCCGAAGGGTTGTATGCACGATCCAAGCGAATGGTTCATAGCAGTTGCTCCTGCACTTCAGGCGCCGCCTGGCGGAGAACCTGCGTTGCCTTTTCATTGAGCTCATGGTCGATGAGAAACTGTTCCAGGGCCGGGTTGGATCGCTCCGGAACCCTGCGGCTGGGTGGGGTGCGAGTGAGACTCCGCCGTCGAGCTGTTTGAAGCCTCCTCCCCCCTCGTTGTCGGACTTTTTGCGAAGGAGTCCGCGAAGGCGACCGAGCAGGAGATCGTGCGGGCGGCCGGGCAGCGCGAAGGCGACCGAGGCTTGAATGGGCGATGGCGATCTTTGAGACGATGATGGGTGGTGTTTTGGGCGGCGGATCTTGAGGCGGGGCCTCGCTCCATGCCTGGCAAGCCACCCATGGACCAATAGTAGTGTTCTGACACCTTCTCAGGATGATTCCAATCCGTTTTGCTGGGATCAGGAAAGCCACATTCGTCATGCGGCTTTGTCGTGACTTTCCAACCTTCTCTTCGACTCTGTCCCTCTTGCCCTGAAGCACCGCAGCTGCCTCATCTATCACACCGACTTCTTCCGCCAAATTATGCTCCTTGGTGCTGGTGGTGGTGCATTCGGACGCTCAAGAAAAAATATATATATATATATAGAATTGTTCTGGGAGACAATGAATAGAAATGCCTCTTGGCCAAAGGAAAAAGGGCGGACACCAGCAGTGACAGACCTGGAAGACAAATGAATAGAAATGCTACATGGACAAACCTGGGAGACAAATGCATAGAAATG